CCCTACAGAGAGATTATTCCCTTTATCGCTCTGGCAAACAGAGGCCCGGGATATGGCAGCCAAGGTGATGTCTGGAGTCCGGCTGCCTGTGTGTCCCAGATAACAGGGCAGGACTCCCAGGACTGGATGTCTCATTTCTGTTGAGTCTCATCCTTCATGCTGTCTATTGTTTCGCTGTTCCCTGGGCCAGTAAAACAGTTTACTTGGTGTTTGTGCTGCTCCACTGCCTGATATTGGTGCTGATCATTGCGAACCCACTGCACTTTGACAAGGGCAGAGCCTTCCATCCAGGAGTGGGTCAGGAGAGGGGTGTGACACACATGGGCCTTCACAAACACATGACAAAAGTTATTTTTGACTGATCTTTTTGAGTGGCCCATAAAAATAAGGCCACTTAATTGAATAGCGTGTGTTAAAGCTAATCGAGTGTCATGGAAATGCATGATTATTATTCATAAGCTGCAAGCCATTTGAATGATTTCCTTCACTAGGACTGGAACCCCTGCGTTAGAATTAGTTCAGTTTAGCCAGAAGAAAGCTTTCTTCCCCGGGGGGAGCTTACATAACCCACAATAACTTTTAAATAATTTTAAAAGAATCCTGAATACTGCAATTTCCTTCTTCCTCACGGCTCCCTTGGTCAGTTCTGTTTCACCACCTGAAACTTTCTACTTCTCATTCCGTTGTCACATCTGCTGCATATTTATCACGAGCTTCTCATCTTTCCCTTCTTCCTTCAGCCTCACAAACAAACGATACCGCCAAGTGGAGAGTGGAAAATCCCCAAGCAGAGGGATCAGTGGATGCTGCAGCCCGAAGCCTCTCGCTTCAGCCTCGTCTTCAGCCTCTGGAGCTCGGGGTCTTTCTGGATTTGCAGCCCGCAGTCCGTCACCCTCCAGGCCTCCTCGTATCGCCGCATCTCCAGGTTGCGCCGGGCGACCCTGAGGAAGGCCTTGGCCACGGGCTCGGTGCCGGGGCACTCGGCGATGCTGCGCAGGGCCAGGGCCCGGTCGAGCTGCATGGCCTGGCTGTAGTGCTGGACGGCCGTGTCCTCCTGAGCCAGGCCCAGGAGCAGGTGGCCGGCGGAGCAGAGGTCCCGGGCGCGGGCCCGCGGGCCGTGGCGGCCGTGGCGCCGGATGACGGTGCCCATGTCTGCCAGGGCACGCTGGGGCTGCCCCAGCAGGCGCAGACAGGCGGCCCTGCGGCGCAGCGAGCGCGGGCTGGCCCCGCTGGCCACCACGGCCACGCAGTGGTACCCCAGGGCCCTCTCCGGCTGCTGCCCCTTCACCAGCGCCTGGCCCTGCCGGGCCGCCACCTGCGGGGACAAAGGGGCTCCGTGTTAGGGAGGAAACACGGGAAAACACCGAGTGGGGAAAAGCAGGGCTGGTCACACATCAGACACTGAGAAAGCGCTCAGGTGCTTCTTCAAAAGCTGCAGCTGCACCCAGCTGGAGAATTAACCCCCTTCTCTGGCTTTGCCCGCAGATGTGAAATGCTTGGATCACCTGCTGTTGTCTCAGGGGGTTCTGAACCCCCCTCCTCTTTATTTCTGCACGTTTGCCTAAAAGCTTGTCAGAGTCCCTTTGCTGATGTTCTTTAGGAATGATGAACAAAAAGCTGCTCGGACCAACCTCCCCACAAACATCTGCACGTGCTAACAACAAAGGTTTTCGTGTCCACTGAAGTTTACCCAAGCTGGAGGATAAAAAGGCCAGCTGATGTCTCTGCTAATCCTTAATCTCGAGTGCAAGTGAATTCTCTGCCCCTGTCTGAAGGGAGAAAGAACAACAGGAGAAGAGAGAAGGCAGAAAGAGCCACGTGATGTTTAGGTTCGGGGAGGTCAATAAGGAAAACTCCATTAGAACCATTTGCCTCAAATGGATTTCTCATTATTTCCCTTTACTGGTAATAAATAAAGCTTTTAAGGTGCTGCAGCAGAGTGGATATTTAAGTTATAAACAAGGCTGCCACCAGCAGTGAGGTCTTAAAAAAGGCTGAGCCAAACAAGCTGAGGCTTCAAGCAAAGGATAAATATTTTCATCACAGGTCTGAGCACCTCATGTGAGAGCAGTGGCATGGAATAGTTTAGTCACTCCTAATGCTCTGTGAGGAATTCTACCCCAGTTATTTTGTTATAAAATATACATAGAATATATATAATAATATATGTATATTTTGCTGTATAAATGAAAAATCCCCTATATAGCATATTTATTAGAGAGTCTCTCAGCTTCCACACATGGAAATAGCAGCAGGACCTCTCCCCAGGCAGTGTCAATCCCTGGCCTTAATAATTCTGGCTGTAAATTGAGAGGCAGCCTGTCCAAACATGCCTCAGATATCTGTATATACATTTAAGGAGCAGCAAGTTCAGTTTGTGCTTTGAAACGTTTTTAAGACAACCAGTCAATGCAAGTGTTTCCTCAGTGGCAGGATTTTAACAAGGGATCAAGATGGAATCGCAGCTGGCAAGAGAAGATGTTTTTTTCCCCTAGAAATTCCAAAGTTCTAGATCACATTGTTCCAGAGAACACAGTGCAGTTCCTCAAAATACCTCGTGTTTGTGTAGTTAAATTGTCATTTTCAGTGTTTAAAATGCACTTGTTGTCTCAAAGGCAGAAGAAAATACATTTTTTGTTGTTCTGCTGGGTGACTAATCTAATGCTCGAGCTTTCAGCAGCATTTTGGGTTCCTGTACCCATGCAATATTGAATTTATTAACTGAGCCACTGCTTCCATTTCTTCACTTTTCCCTGGGAGTCCCCAGAGTGAGCAAGCTGCAGGATTCTGCATTTCCTGCCGGACTTGGGGGAAAAAATTATTCAGACTTGTCACTAAATGTTTGATTTTGGCTTCCAGAGTGGAGTAATTGTGGTGCCACCTGGAAAGGGCTCTGCAGGGCACACGTGCCTGGGGATTGGGCTTCCTGGGTCAGTCTCTGTGTCCTTTTCTTCCATCTATTTACCTCACTGAGTGATAAAGGACTGAAAATACGCATATTTTGGTGCCACTTTTGGTTCCAGTCCCTAGTGACATACAGTTTTAGAAGCCATTTCTGTAGGAGTCTGGGCATCCTATGGCATGTCCACAGCCAAGCAGCTCTGAGGGTCTGGTGAGGAGTTGGGAACCTCTGGCTTAGGAAACCAAAGGGTTGAAGCTGCACCAGCAGCAGCAAACTCCCTTCCTGTGACCTTTTGCTGCCTGATAAATCTTTCAGATTCCTATTCCCATGGGGCTCTCCCAGTTGTTTACAAATTTCTTAGCATGGGACCCCTCAGACTATAAATAAATGGGAGGATTTTATTGCTTTGTTTTTCATGAAAAAACCTGAGTACATCAGGGAGCTCTCTCCTTCCTCCACCCTTTCCTATTCAGCTTATGGGGGATTATTTTTAGCCTTTCAGACCAGACTCCAGGGTAATGATGACACGTTTCTGTAACCTCCAAACACTCTAAAACACTGTGGCAGAAATGCTTCTGTGCTGGAGGGCTGAGACTGAGGGCTGGGTGTAAACCACTGAACTCTGCTTTGCTGGAGCCTCCTCACCTGGGAGATGGGGGTGACAGAATGAGCAGCCTCTCCCAGAGCGTGGTTGGGAGCCTTGGCAAAGTAAAGCCATCAGTTTGGTCCTTATCCTCTCTATAAGCTGCTTTTTTGCTTTTACTGAGATCTTCCTTTCCCTCCCGAACTGGAGTAACCTTGCAGGCAAAAGGAAGTGCTGCTGGGAAAGGCTTTGAGACACCAGGCAGGTGAATTAACCAACTCCTTCCCCACCCCAGAAAGAAAACACTCATCCCCTTGTCACGAAATACATAGAAAAAGACGCAGGTGCTTGAGTTCAAATATTTACCCAGTTGAGCAAAAGCCCAGGATAAAAGAGAGTAATGTTTTCTTTCTAAACTTCTGACACTGGTATTGAGTTCCAGTTTTGAAATCAGTCCTGTCGCACCTTTTCTCTCAAGTTAGCAGGGAAATCTTTCATTTCTCCACTTCAAGACAGAAACAAAGAGCCTCTCCCATTTGAAAGGCTTCATTCACCTGTGGCACCAGTGGGTTCAAATACATCAGTGCAGTTTAAGCCATAGAAAAAGTAGTTTGGGGGTTGTTTGTTTATTTTTTTCTCTTCTCTTTCCTCTTTCCTTATTGACAGCATAAGAATATCCTTCCTGTATTGTCTCACAAAGCAGCATGGGTGGATTTAGCTGAGAGACTTCCCCACTAAGGGAGTGATGTGGCAGCAAGGGAAATTCAGCTGCAAAATGTATCTTCATTTACAGACACCTCCTCAGGGCCTCCACAGTCACAGTCTCAGTTGTACCTTTATCAGCTTTCTAAAGTGGAAGATTGCAAATTGGCTCTGAAACCTTCAAACTCTCCCCCACAAGACTGAACTTTTTACATTATTTAGAAGAGAGGGGCTCTTTTCTCTGTAATGGGGCACGTCTGGGGACTGGTAAATTAATACTTGTTTACTTATATCCTCCTGCTGTTTTGTTAAAATACATCCCAAGTACTCCCCTCGATGCATTAAGTGTGTCAGCATGTTGTTTGTTTTATAACCTGGGAGAGAGCATAACAATATAAGTTCTCACCAGGGCGCTCACCAGCCCCAAATTGAATCAAAGGAAGCAAACTGCTTCTCAGAACACAGAGCTTCTGGGTAATCAGAATTGCAGATGCTTGACTGAGTGTTAAAACTCCCCACCATCAATCTGAGCTTCTCCTGCCTTATTACTGGAGATTCTTTCTCAGAGCTGGGTGGACTTTGGGGGAGAAATTTGAAAGAACGCCTAATAATACATATCTGGGTGGACTGGAGCAATGTGCCATTGAGGTGACAAATAGTTTTAGCTGTGAAAACCAACTTCACAGGCCAGTAATGTTATACAAATGTGAATATAAAAGTCTTCCCACACACTTCTGCTCATGGCAAGGCAGGGAAAAATCTCTACAGCCGAATTCGGCCTCTCATTTTTTCCCCACTGAATCCATGGGTGTGGATCAAAAAAAAGACTGTACCTGAGCGAGCTGCTGCTGTTGCTCGGTGTCTACAAAGTTCAGGAGAAATTCCAGCTCCCTTTCATCTCTCTGGGCCAGGGCACTGAGCGAGTGAGCTGCTCCTGCCACGTCCCTGCTCTTCAGCTGCAGCACAGCCAGTCGTGCCCTGGCAAAGTCCTCCGTGGGGCAGTGGCCAAACGCTCCCTGGAGATGGGTAAGGGCCTCCTCACACCTCCCTGTTGGGTGACACCAGCACAAGCTACATAACCCTTTCCATGGGGGGAGAGACACCAAGAAAATTCACTGCGGCAGGATTTGGGAAGCCTGTCCACAGCCCACACCTAAAGGCGTTAATTACCTCAAACTCCTTCCCAAAGCATTCCCAAGCTTCTCTTGAGAGGACTCACCACTTGCAATCAGGACATCTGTGTAGAAGATGTGACACTGTGCAGCCTTGCAGATTTTAATCAGCGCTCCTGCAATCACAAGGAGGTCCCCGAGGGTTTCTCCCTTTGAGGTGTCCGTGGTAGCCACGAGCTGGGTCAGCGCAGCCCTGCCGTGCTGGAGGAGCCACCCAGTGATCAACTCCTGGGCTTCACCCTTCAGGGACAGGATTGCTGGGATCACTGCCTCTGCCTCCACCTTCAGTGCTGAGATCAAATCTTGCACTGCCTCCTATGGAAAAATAACACCAAGAAATGACATGGAAGCAATAACTCAATACTGGGCATTTGTTCTTTCAGGTGCTCTCAGCTCTCTGCCGTCCCACAGAAACTCCTGGCTCTTCCCTGTCCTTGGCCTGCATCTTTTCCCTTTGCAAAGCTGGCAGAAGAGCATAAAGGCAGGTTTGGATGGCTGTTTGCAAAGGGTTTGGAACTCCTTGGGTTATCACTGGAAATTGTGACTAAGTTTAGCTTTCCTCTCCCTAGGCTTGGGAAAACAAACAGATCAGTAACGTCAGGTGGGCTGCTTATACACCCAGCCAAAACCAGAGCCTCTCACTGCCCAAATTCCGTGAGAAACTTGAATTCAGTGAGCCCAGGACAAACTCTGTGATGCCTTGCACTGACATCATTGAATACCCTCAGAACAACCCCCAGGAAATCAGCACAGTGGAAGTACCTTCTGCCGCCTCAGGGCAAGGAAAACGAATCCTCGGCCGCTCAGAGCCTGCACGTTGCTGGGATCCTCCCTCAAGATGGCATTGAAATCAAAAATAGCAGTTTTCATCTGGCCAAGGCGCCCGTAGCACCGAGCCCTGCTGAGGAGGCAATCTCCAGCAGCACCACCTGCAGCACAGGGAGGCAGCCGTGGTTACTCGGGGACACCCACAGGAAAATGGAGGAAAATTCCACTTTGCCTAAGGATGCTTGAGGAACTACAATGAGAGGGCTTAAGTGGAAGTTTCCCTTATTTCTGTTGCAAGTGGAATTCTTATCTCATACTCTCGGTTCTGAGTTGAAAGGGAAAGATAATCTGTGTCAGGTTGGAATAGGAGCTGCAGAAAGGAGAGAAAAGGCTCTAAGCAGGAGATCTGTGGGTGTGTGAGAGTGGAGGCACAGAGTCATTTGGCTGCTTTAATAAAGTGGAGACAGAATCACAGAATAGTTTGGGTTGGAAGGGACCTTAAAGGGTCCAACCCCCTGCCATGGGCAGGGAAGGTACACCTTGTTTGGGACAAATGAGTAATCCAGATGGGACTGACTAATTCCCTGCCAGAATTAATATGCACTGGGATTTGAGATGCTAAGATTTTTTATATTTTTTTTGCCTTTTTCCCCTCTGCTTTCACAGAAGTGCTGCCCAAATAAACACATAGAGCTGACAGTGAAAATCCTGGTCCATCCACTCCCTGACTGCAGAGCATTTATCTTCCTGCCATCCACATGGCCCTTCCTTTCAAGGCAATTTCGATAAGGATCTTAACGTGCCCAGGGTTGCAATCCATAACTGTGGCATCCCAATACTGGATGATAAATCATCAGTGCCACTGGAAATATGTTTTCATAGGGAGGTCAGCAAATGCAGCTGCCTGCAGAGATGAGCCAGCAGATGGGCTCCAAGCAATTCTGTTACAGTAATGAGGCTTTTTCTCCCTCCTGATATGCTCCAAAACCCCTGTACCAAAGGTTATTATCACTCTGGAGCTCGACCAATTGGCTCCTGGAAAGACAATCTCTATTTCTCAACAAGCATCTGTTCTAGCAGGTGGGGAGCTGATAAGCTGGAACGCACGGGCTGCAAAATGGAACCATCTCCAAGCAATTAACAGGGTTTTTTCCATTTTCATGAGCCAGTCTCTCTTCTCCTCGGTGCTGCTGTCATAACATTTGCTCAGAGTGAAAGGCAGATTTCCATACAAACATGGTTTCACTTGGAACACGCCAGAAGCGTTCCCACGTCAGCCTGATCTCTCTCCTCGGGAAAAGCTGGGATAGTGATGCCATGGAAGTGGCTGCACTCACTCTTTGCACTGGAACTGCACAGGCTGGGCTTTCTGGCAAGTGAAGAAAAGGGGCTGAGGTCCCTGTAGAACTGACCTGAACACTTGCAACCCATTTCAAGGAATTCACAGATTGTTTACTTATTATTTATTGTTTTATTGCTCCTTTTTACAGTGCAGATGACCCTGCTGTTTCAGTCTTCTCACTGGGGAGATGGCAAGTGAGAACTGGCTGGACGTTCTGTCCCACCCACTGATCTGATTTGCCCTGGAAGTCCATCTCCATGGGTACCCTGATGCCCTACCTGCAGCAATAATTGCAAAGGACAGGTAGGCAATGGCCTCTTTGATGTGAGCATCCTCCTGTTGGCTCTCCAGGATGGCCAGTGCTTGGACGTGGCAGTGGGTTTGCATCAGCTTCCTGTCCTCATCCTTGAAAATGTCCATGATGGGCAGAAGGCAGGAGGTATCTCCAGTTCTGATCACTCTCTGTAGCAGCTTAACAGTGGAAGAGAAAAAGGCAGCAGAGGAAGATTTGAATGAGGAGATGTGCAGTTGTGTTAAACTGCCTGCTGAGACCAGTTTGCTCTTACCCAGCACTCTCCCACCCTCCCCTGGGGCTTCTCCCTGCCACGGTCCAGCCAAGGACATGAATCTCACATTTAACTCCTCAGCTGGCTCTGGTGTAAATGCATGTTGGAGAAAACACCAGTTCTTATCTTCTCTCACCACCACAGCAGCTGTGGAAACAATTGTGGAGAAATACCTGGAGCTGCCTGGTTTACTTTGGGCAGCATCTGCTCCAGACTGGCAGGGGAGTGTTTGTACAAACCCAGCTGAACCACGGGAGGGTTGCCCCAAAAATAGAACCTTTCTGTGGAACAGAAGGATTCCAGTGACCCCTTTTGACTGTACAATCCAAACTAGTGAATTAATGGAAGGTCAGGGAAGTGCTGTGCTTTTTTTTAGTATTGTTATTGGGAATTTGGGAAAAGTACGGATTCAAATCCACAAACTGTTTTCCTCCTGGAAAAGAATCTTGCCTGCCTTGTGGTATCTTTGCCTCCATTTACTGCAGTGAGATTCATAAGCAAATTTTTACTACATTTCCTATGGAAATGAATCAAAAGGTGTTTTCTACAGTAACCAGCAGGTACTGGATATTCAAATCTGAGCCAGGCAAGCCAGGACAAGAACAAAGTTATCCTGATGCACCAGACACATCCACTGAGGTTATTACTCTCTATTTCATTAATAGATAAAAGTGTTTGGCTTCTGACAGGCAGGTGGGATAAGAACATTTTGAAGAGAAATTTCTGGTGGCACATGTTCCCATGTAGAACTTGCAGCAGAAGCTGCAGACAGGAATCCAGCTCCCGAGGGCAGCATATAATAAAGCCATGTCACTCATTAATAGCCTTCTCAAAGGCAGCAAATTACACCAAACTTTTACTCTTCACAGGGAGCAGTGAAGTGGTGACAGTAAAACCTTTCTCTTCAGGGTTAGCATTTACGTGGCATTTTAAAAAATGCAATAGTTCCCTCTGATGGCAGAACCTGGGAATTCAGCTTCGCAATCCCTGGCAGGAGAATGAAACATGCTGGACTGTCTTCCAGGGTTTCAAGCACAAGCNCATGTTCCCATGTAGAACTTGCAGCAGAAGCTGCAGACAGGAATCCAGCTCCCGAGGGCAGCATATAATAAAGCCATGTCACTCATTAATAGCCTTCTCAAAGGCAGCAAATTACACCAAACTTTTACTCTTCACAGGGAGCAGTGAAGTGGTGACAGTAAAACCTTTCTCTTCAGGGTTAGCATTTACGTGGCATTTTAAAAAATGCAATAGTTCCCTCTGATGGCAGAACCTGGGAATTCAGCTTCGCAATCCCTGGCAGGAGAATGAAACATGCTGGACTGTCTTCCAGGGTTTCAAGCACAAGCATTAAAGGGAGAACACTGCAGACTGATTCTGGAGGCTTTGTGCCTTTCCCTGCCCTCCTCTCCAGTGCTTCATTAGGATAATCCATGAGGTGGCACTTCTGCCTCCTTTTCTGCAGGGGAAAATTACCCATCCCACAGTACTGTCCCCAGGGGCAGGATGCTCAGCCATGCTCTGCATGGTTAAAGGCTCTGCTGAAAAGAGCCATTAAAGAGCGTGAGAGGAAGGGGCTGGATTTAGCTGAGTCCTGTGATTCTGATGCATCTCAGGTCTGTATTTAGATCTGAAAAGTTTCGCTAGAGGTTGAATCACCTAAACCTCACGTGGGCTCCAAATCCCACTGTGTCAACAGCTCTCCCTGTTGCTGTTCCTGGAGCTTCCAACAGCAACAAGTTTAGTTATGAAAGGGCAATGCACACAAAGCACTGAGCATGAGGATGACTCTGTACTTTCACTGAGGTCTGGGACAAGCAGAACCGAGCCAGGCAGATGCAGCTGTTCAGCAGGGAATGACTCTGTGCCAAAGAGGAAGCTTTGCCAGGTGCTCCTTACCTGGTTCCCATCATACACAAACCCTTTCTTCAGCTGCAGCAGCGCCAGCCTGGCCAGGACAGGAGCCCTGTGGGGGTTTCTGGAGAGGGCCAGCGAGAGCAGCCTGTGGGCTTCTTCCCCACGGCCCATCTGGTACAGGGCATCAGCACAGAGGATCCTTGAGGCCTCATCAGCAGTGTCCAGCTCCACCAAGAGACAGGCCAGCTGGAAAACCCCAGGGGCATCTCTGGAGGGGAAAAAAACCAACAAAACAAGCCACCTTCAAGGTCAGGAATCTGCCCAGCGCTGTTTCTTTTTCTGAAAAT